AGATAGCAAAGCACGGGCCAACTCGTTCAGATCCGCCTGTGCCAAGCTCGGCAAGCACCAGGAAAAAAGAAAAAAGGCTACGATGCTTTTTAATATAAATTTGGACCAGAAAGTCTGTCATATCTGCATATGCAGGAGAGCTGACTGTACTTCTTGCAAGCAAAACCCAGACTCCAAATGCTGACCCAGACCTAAGGGCAGCTCTTGGCATCCAGTGCAAGAGCCAACCACTAAGGCCACCTCTGCAGCCCAAGCTGGCAGGTGAGGAGGATTTCTATAAGCAGAAAGGAAATATGGAAATATGGACCCTCCTTAGGTGACCGGCATGTTAAATACCTCAAGATTTGACCACAGTGTTTACTGGCAGATTTAACTCTACTGTATTTCAAGGCTCTAAGTATCCTAGCTACGTTTTAACCATTAAATTAGCACAGTTTGTTACTATATTGCTTTCTGATGCAGACGCTTGGTAGAGAGAGAAAAAAAAAAGTGGTATTTGGCAAAGAAAAAAAAAAGTGAGAAAAAGAAAGAGAACACAAAATACCAGAGCATACAATCTTACATAAAAATGTTAAACATTAGCCTTTTGATGTTTATCCTCCCTTATAAGCAATGAAAATTCACGTCTGCCAGAGTTTAAGGCCTGGATTTTCAAAGAAAGCCAAGGTAGAGAACAAATCTCACCCTAATTAAATCGGAACGGAACCCTCAACCCCCCCACCCCGCCACTGAAAATTCCTGCCTGGAGCTCTGCAGAAAGAGTAACCCTTGTGCTTGTGTTCAGGAGCAGATGACCAAGCTACCAGCCATTTTAATTAAAAAGAACTGCCCTCCTGCCTGAAGAGGTGGTGTTTTCTTTCTTTCTTTTTTTTTTTTTTTTTGCTGAAGACAAACATTTGCTTCTTAAGGCCGCTCGCAGCGCTGGAGTTATTTGCTGGAGTCAGCTGGCAGCCCAGCGTGCCTCCCTCCAGACAAAGGTCTCCTGCGTTTTAGCAGTCCCGGAGCCCCCTTCCTTAGCTCACCGGAGCCCCCTTCCCCGGCCAAAGCAAAGGCTGAACAAACACAGCGGCCGCAGGAGCCTCCCTTTCCCAACCACGGGGGTAGGAACGAAAGGCAGGAGGAGGCCAAGCCAACGAGTGAGGCAGGAGAACGGGGCTCTTCCAAACAAGTCCTCCGAGCGCAGGCATCGCGTGTGGCCCCAAACCCAGACTCGTCCCGAGGCAGCACTTGAGGAGCAAACAGTGCAAAACAGCACAGAGCTCCCTGGAGGATCCAAATCCCAGCAAGTTCTGCTGTGCTCTGTCCCAGGAAAGTTATTAAGGTGGAACGCAGGCTCGGGATGATCCCCTGAACTATTGCAATGTTGCATGGTTACGTGGGAGCCCTTCTCAGCTAAGCAAAGCAAATGCTTTTGCTGTGTTTTACACAGCTAATCACTCCAGGAGCCAAGCTCTAAAGCCACCTTCCCAAAAGGCTCCCCGGCTTAGATTAATCGAGCAAACAGGTACAGTTTAGAGAGCCTGATTTCTTCGTGTCAACTGCAGCCTGGGCTGGCGGAGCAGCCTCGAGGCCCTGCCGTGGCTTCCCTGCCTCCCGGGGAGGGCAGGGACACTGCTCACACCGCTGCCTTTGCTCCCCGGGCTGCCTCTGCACCCATTCACCCCCCCTACAACGCACCAAGAACCACCTGAATTACTGATAAGCTCGTGCAGCGTACACGGCGCCTTGAAAGGACACAAGGAATGCTGAAAAAAATAATTAAAAAAAAAAATCAGCTAATAATCAGCCAAAGAGAGTATTTGGGGAAGAGTCTGCCCTCCACGGTGCCAAAGAGACTGCCTGGCTGATTGCTAACTCAGGAGTTGGCAATCACTAGAATTACAAGAAACATGAGAACCTGGGAGGTTACAAAAACATATTAGTGACAGCAGGAATTTCTGGTCATTGTGTCTGGAAAGGCGAGATTTTTATCTTCCTGGGGAGGAGAAAAGGAAAAAGTGGCAAAGGAGAAAGAGAGAAGGAACAGAGCGTGACAAAAAGGGAGCAGCCACCTCCGCGAGCGGAGCAGCAAACGAGGCTGAGCGCGCGGAGCCTCCACGGCTGGATTGCAGCTCCAAGCCGGAGCTGCGGCCTCCCAGCTGCCTGGGAATCGCGGCGGGTACCCAGAGGAATCGCGGTGGGTCTGGTTTTGTGAGGGATGCTCCGAGTTTGCCGTCCACGAACGCAGCGCCGCGGAGCTGCTGCTGCTTTCTGCAGCTATTAGCTCAATAACTATCAGGCTGCAGAAGAAGTGTTACAAAGACTAACTATGCAGCAAAAATATTTTGTAAGATTTAACAGTCCTTCGCTTTTAAACACATAGGTAGGGGCCCTCTCTCTCTCTCTTTGTTATTAAAGTACCACCCAGTGTCCTCTAAGTCAAGGTCTCAGCTGAGGCTTGGGTTTTCCGAAGTGTTGACTCTCCCACAGCTCACTTTTCACAGGGCTCTCGCATTGCAAACAGATTCCATAAATGCTGTTTGCTCCCTCCTCCTCTCCCCGCTTACCTTAGAGATGATTTACAGCGCCATAAGCTCTGTTTTTGCAGAGGATGGACCTGCACTCACATGACACTTCCCATCTGTGAGCAGTTCCTTTACTGCAGCTCTCTGCTCCTCTCCGAATCAGCAGTAGTTTCATCATGAAAAGTCCCATTTCTCCCTAAACTGTTCTAACCTGCTGTCTAGTCATTACAGATTAAGGGCATTCTGTATGGATTAACGGCACACGTATTCTGGATTCTGCTGCCTTGGCACACTCGAGGTGTCAGCATACCCAGCCAAGATGTCCCACCTTAGTCTGGATCACACCTCGTTATCCTATGGCCATGCTGGAGACAGAACCCTGCATGTTCTTGTCTCCTGTGGAAAGCACAGGAAGCCCATTCAGAGAAAGAAAAGGCCTCTGAGATGACCAAGGAAAGGATCTGGGGTCACCATGGGACATCATCAGTTGCCCACATATTTATTGGGCAAAAGGAAACTTACGGATATTATAAATCAGTTCTTGCAGTCTAGTTGGCCAAACCCTTTTCAGTGCACAGGCCTTTGAGGAAAACTGCACAGAGAAAGCCCCAAATACAGCCTTGCATTCCCACTGTTAGCTTGGAGCCTCCAAAAACACTGAGATGAGCAGAAGCCCGGGGGCTGGTCACTGCCAGGACATCCTGTGGAAATGGGCCTAGAGCCGCTGCCCTGCATGTGTCAACTGCATTAGAGCACAAGCAGGAGATGACATGAAAACCTGTGGTTACTTCTTGATTACGATACTCACTTTTGAATTTGAATGCCAAAACTAAAACTGTGCATTTTAGAAATGGCAATTTGCAGGAGAAACATCCTCCAAACACACAGCATCTCCTGACGAGCCCACGGGCGAAAAAAGGATGGCAGGAGATGAGGCCACAACGTGGACCTTTTGATTCTTCCCAAGGCTGCTCAGGCAGGGCCAGAAGGGGTTTGTTAGCAGGAACCACCACTGCCCTGAACTTCAGCCTTTAATCGGGCAGACAATCTACCACAAAACCAGAGAGTCACAGCCCGAGCCCCGAGCGCTGTGCCCGCGGAGCTGCACAAGTCGTGTCCCTCGTAGACAGCAGCCACCCACCCAAATCCTGCAAACTGAGCTATGCTTATGGGGCCTCAGCAAAGCAGATTAGCCCCTCTCAAGCTTTAAACTCATGCTGCAAAACACTGATGATCCATCCTATGCTTTACACTTCGGGGAGGATCCCTGAAGCTAGAAGCCCCAGCATAGCTTTAACTTGTGCAGCGTGGCACTAGATTTTGATTTTCAGGGTCACTGCGAGGTTGTCTGCTCCTGGTCCTGCTCTCTTGCTTTGTTTTCCTTTGAGGGTTTCGCTTTCTGCCATCTCGCAGCTCACACGGGCAGCAGAGAAGAAAGGGCGCTTGCTCATCAAGGGCAGGACTAATTTTCTCCTATTTACACCACATTTTAAGGAGTTACGCAAGCAGTGGTGCGCTGCAACCCTTTCATGTGGTTTTAAAGTCATTTAAGGATATATAGATTTTTAAAGTTAATGAGTTTTTTTGTTTTTAAGCAGACAGGCCACCTTCACGGTTGATGAGAACTGTTTTATAAGAAAGATGCTCTCAGGAAAGGACTGGACTAACATGATGAAATCTCTCCAGCAGTCAAACTCCTCACATTGAAATAGTCGGAGCTACCACTCACTCGAGATGTTCAAGTTGAAAACAATATTACTATCTAGTTACAGAGTAAAATGTGCTCAAGGTTCTCCAGAACCTGAGCAGCTAAATTAGTTTAATTCCCCAAAACAAGTAAATGAGAAGACATGGTTAAGTATAATCCCAGTTTGCCAGTTTTAAGGCTTCCTCCTCACCTAAAATTTTGAAAGGAGGGCAAAATTACACTTAACCAAAACAGTGTGCCAGCTAAGACGAGCGTGACTCAAAAAAAATCCCCCAAACCGGAGGTATTTGTTTATTTTTGAGGTAGGGAGATATTCTGTGCCCGAAGATGACACAATTTCCTGTAAACTGCTTGCTCACGTCAAGCGTAACGCTTCCCTGAAATTCACACTTTTTTTCCACATAGACCCAAGGTAAAGCAGACTCATTTATGAAGCAAAAGCAGCTTTGCCAGTCAGAGAACTCCAGTTAAAAGCCCAGACACAGCAGAAAAAGAAACTTCCCACACACACCCTTTTTTTCTCTTCCCTCCCATACTCCTGGCTACATTATTCTAGATTTGACTTGTTCCTCAGCAACGCTACCACCATCTACATGAGGGTTATTACGCTGAGTTAGTTATATCCCAAATGCATCAACTCCATTGCCATCTCCCCCATGGACTGCACAGCACAGAAGTGAGTGCCATTTGGACACTTAAACCATGTGCTATATTTCGAAGGCCACAAGTCTAGCATTTCATTCTCATAATAGCTCAGCCCACACAGGGACGTTTCCTGGGGTCCTTACCTGTCCACTGGGGCGGGCAGCGGCAGTTGTAGGTGTTCACGCCGTCCACACATATCCCCCCATTCTGGCAATTGTGGTTCGGGCAGTCATCGACGTTGCGTTCACAGATGCTTCCCTCGAAACCTAGAAAAAGCAGAAAATCAGGCGAGTGAAACAGACTTTCAAGGCTCTGCTGAAGGGAATTAACAGGAGCTGATTAATCCTGCAGCAAGGCTCACCCAAATTGTGCTCTCCACACACTGCCAGCTGGGTTATACTTTGACATCACAGTTCTCAGGTTTGCTAGTAACACGCCAACCTTGCTGTGGGATGAGACAGCTATTTATCAGAGGACAAGTGGATGCATGTTCATGGGGATGAATAAGTAATTCCAGAGTGCAGAGATTAATTTAAAACATCAGCTTTGCCTCTTCACTGCTTTGGAATGCACCATTACCATGAGACAGGCCTTTCATCCCAAACGCCGTCTTTAACCGCCCTCTGCTTTTAATGCCCCACTCCAGACAGTGCTCCAACATCTGCGTCACGTCAGAGAGCCCCTCTGCACAACATCTGCTCCCACAGAGATCCCATCACGTGGCAGATGAGGCTGAGGCCGCCAAGCTCTGTAGCAACTTCCCCGGATTATGGCCGCTCTGAATTGAGACACCTCAAAAGCTCCATAGCAATTCCCACCTCAGAGTTCCCAGAACTATGGGCAAGATCCCTAAGGAAAGAGGAGCCATATGACGTGCTGTATGACCCACAAGAAAAGAAGACTTCCCTTAAACACCAAACAATGCATGCCAGCAGCCTGCAACACCACCCTTTTCCTTCAGAGCCCTTCTCTGCTTCACTCAAGATCTGCAGGTCTCGTGGCAAAGAAGGCAAAAGCCAGGAAGAAACGTGACAAGCTTGGTCTGAAGTCAACTCACCGCAATAGTTTGGCCATAAAACACAAAACAGGAGTGTCCTAAGCTTGCTTTTGAGCTCAAGGGGAATCACCCCAATGACCACACACTTCATGCATGCCAGCAACATGATCAGCATGGAAACGTGATCAGCTCCAGAACCAGGAGTTCACATGGTTTTAGCTCTTGTCATCTAAGCTTGAACTTCACTTATCCTGCTTCCTAGTAAGTACTCGATAAGGGGCATCTATTTAAAACCATCTCATCGTACTGCAAGAGCCAAAGATTGAGTAAAATTATAGTATGGGAGTCATTGCATTGGTAGATCCCCATCAAGCCACTGCAAATTTCCTTACATTTGCACCAGCTATACTGAAGTCCTCAAGCACCTTATACAAATACAAGAAGCCGCTAATCCACCCCAAAAGCAAGAGAACACCACAGGAGGGAAATAGAACCAATTCTCTTACAAAGGGATGTAGTAAAAAGGGACTAGAGTTGCGATGTGTAGTCAAGTGTGTTTATCCAAAGATATCTTCAAAGGAAAGGAATCAGGAAGGATGGAGATGTTGACGATGACACTATTGGAGTGTACAGCTGAAGAAAATACAAGCTTCCTTTTTGGTAACTTCCCAACTCCCAGATTCCCTTCATTTTTTTCCTGTTCTGAAGAAGAGCTTTGGCTCTGGTTCAGAACATCTAGGAGGTTTAAAGACAAACTCTTTCTGTTTGGTTCAGGCCTGATATACACTACAACATTGTGATCTGCTTAGTTTGTAAATAAAGGCATCCCAAGGAAGTTTAGCTGTCACGTTCAATGGGTCCTTTTGAGTTGTGGCTGTTTGAGTCAAAGTGCCCATGTCTGAGCATTACAAGCACTAAGTTCCTCCAAGACACGTGAGCAGAACCCCTCATTTTCCACAAACTGGGTGCCTGGATGAGATTTTGCAGTTACATAATCTGAATCTCTTCCAGAAGGTCCATGTGCTTGGACACCTGCCCCAGCTTCCTGCTCACCCCATGCTGGGACTGACGCGTTGTCCTCCGTTTTCCCATTCTCCCTCCAAGGGAACAGTCTGCAGCACGTGGCCTGACTTCTGCTCTACGTCCCCAAGCACCGAAAACCAAGGAATGAGAACCCCAAGGGGGAAAGCGTTCCCATAGCTAATGGCATATTCCTCCTTTAGTGCACAAAGTGGAGTGAGAGTAGAAAAATCCACTCAAGTCAGTTGAGATCTCCATCCTACTCCAAAGCGTCACATCCCAATTTCCTCCAAAGCCTAAAAGAATTGCCTTAGTCTTATTTAGGCTCACATAGAGAAAAATGAGCCTGCACCTCAGACCTTCTGCAAGACCATTCAGGTATGGGGGCAGCAAGTCGCCCCCAAACACCAGCTCCAACTTATTGATAGATTTGGCCTTGATGACTAGAAATAGGCCCCTCAACGCAGAGCACTAATGCCAACCACATCATTCGGGCCTGTTGGAAGAGGGGCGAGACTGGCTACTCGGAGAGCTCAGCTCATCCGCATGGATCAGAGGAGCGGGCGGCCGGGCGCCGCTCGCTATGGAGCGCCCTGTGGAGCACCGGGAGCGACTTCCTCTTTCCAGGAAGTGCTCCAGTTCCCATAAACAGCCTGCTGGGCTTTGACAGATAGTTTCCTGAACGAGCTCGTGGTATTCCCTAGGGTTCTTATCTTAGTTAATGGGTAATTATTTTGATGGATAACAATGAATAATCACTTTCCCAGCTAAGAACTTCCTCTATTGACTTGTTTAACATTCCACTAAGGGTTAGCTGCCAAAAGCGCTCCTTTTTTGTTAAATATTTGCAACTACGAGCTCATTTTGTATTTTAAAGGAGTTAATGCTGCAGGTTACACCCCCTTCACAGTAGTATTTATTACTATGGCTATCTTCTGACTCACCCAACATGCTCCTCATATACAACCTTGTTTTATTTGAATTCATAAAGCTCGAAAGATAGGGCTATAGAAAGGATGCCGAGCGACAAGTTACCTTTCATAGAGACACTATATGGACAGTATAGATACCTCTTCAGTTACACTTGCCACTAAGTGCTGACACATTCCAATATATATGTCTCTATAGGGTATCGAATGCAAGATTTGGTTCGTGCAAATGTACAACTTAATTGGGTACCTGAGAACTGAAAAAATGTGGATAACCAGCACTGTCCAAAAAGCTGTTCCTACATTAACAAAAAAAAAAAAAAAAAAAAAAGAGGTAAAAGTGGTCTTGTCCTGGTTTAAATGATTAAATGAGAGCACAATCACTTGAGCAGTTTCCATTGCTGGTGGAAAGGATACACACAAAGAGAGTATCTCCTATCAATAGGAGAAAAAAAAAAGTAAGCTTTTTAGTATTTCTGTGGAAGAGTATCAGAAGATACTAAAGAGAAAGGAAACCAAAAACTACCAGAAACCAGAACCCAATTCAGCGTGAGTTCAGGAGTGATTTTATTACGCTTAAGCTGTTGATGAGGCATAATCCATTTCTTCACACAAGAGGCAAGGTCTTAGCAAAAAACCCCCCAGCAGTCCAAGACGTTACGACCTCTTGCCTCTACCCCCATAGTGCTGAGCTATGTTCACATCTTAAGCCAGTCCAGAAAGACGGGCTCGAGCAATTCCATTTATAGCCACAGTGTCATCAGCCCCGCGCCAATGCGGAGAGGGAATCTAAACAGCAATTCCTATCCCATGATCTCGGCCCTCTCTCCCGGATGAGGGGGACTTGTTCCAATGTTCCCAGCGTGTGACAGGCCACCATTTCCCCTCGCTCTGTTGACCTCCTCTTCCCAGACAAATCCCTTCCCAGCACTCCAGAAATTTCATAGTACACACTTGAAGGTAAGGGGCAAGAAACGGCTGTGTGTGTTGCACTTAACCAAACAGGTTAGCGTGAGCATTTTGGCCTCTCCAACCTCTCCTTTTTTTGCCCTTTTTCATATGACTACTTTTAAAAATAAAGTTCGCAAAACACGGCCAACTTAAATACAGGAAACGCAGAAATGAAGGCTCTCCAAGCAGCATTAACTCACCCACATTATTCATGTTGTGTAACAAGTCCAAAAAACGCAACTAATAATCCAAAATGTGTGTGAGCAGCCGTGTGGGTGTGTAGCTGTTACTATAGTAATCTCCTTTTCATTTCCTGACCGTAGCTTGGCCAGCCCACACACTTGTCTAATGGAAACGTGCTCCTACCCAGTCTTGCATCCCTGTGAGAGAGTCATTAGTGCAAACCTCCCTGTCTTGCAGGACTAAGTCCCTTATACTTCATTCTTCTCTCCTCTTTCTCCTGTCACGCTGCTCCTGCAGGATATCTTACCTATTTTACACCGGCTAAAGGGGGTTGAATTTAAGAAAATTCTGGATATCAGTAATGAAACTAGTCACGTCTTAATTCAAAAATAGCCAGTTTAGTTTCCTTTTAAAAATATGTAAAATGAAAAAGCAGCAAGTTCCCTGAAAGAGCAACAATTCATTAGGATATTAGATTTTCTTAGACTGTGTGTTCAAGCATTGTTTCTTCAAGGGCAGTTAGAAACAGCTGCTTTCACACAAAGACGAAGATGAGACAACTGCCTATTTTAAGACCAACTTTCCTAAATTCTTTCAAGTCACATGTTTGCTCAGACTACCCTGAAATTTGTTGTGCAGACACCAGCTAAGGTTGGCAACATGCATTAAAGGTCACTTGAGTCAACACTCCAATACAAAGGTCTCTTAGAAGAAAGAATTTCTCACAATGTCTCCATACTCTTTCTGCACTTCCCTAGGACTCTAGGTAACCCTCTGGATTCAAGAGAACCCAGTCTCTTGACATTCCCCCTGAACAGTATATGGCAGCTACATCTTTCACATAAATAGTAACAACAACAAGAAATGCTTAAGGGAAAAAGAGTTTTCTAGATTGCCACACACTGAGTGTTCGTGTGCCAGACGGCAATACACTCAGGGAGGAAGTCTAGTCAAAAGAATTTCCAAACAATCAGTTTCCCATGGGTTGATTCACTCTCAGTAAAAAATCTGCATCCTCTAAAAACTCCGATATACACAGAATAGTAGTGTGGTCAGTATAACAACTGGATGAGGAGAAGCAAGGCAGGACGATCACATTTGTTTTCCGAGCAAGTGGGATCTGGTCATTTGTAGAGACAAGTGTCCTTGGCCCATCTTGACACACAAACCCAAATGAGCACATGATCCTGAGCAAGACCCTAATTCCTGATGTGGATGAACTCTAAAACAGATAGTTGCCACAGCAAAAGCAGCCATAACTTACCTGAAGGCTATATGAGACAGAATATAGGGTCAGTTGGAAATAAGACTCCATAAGATTTGGAGGAACGGGAAAGAATGGAGCAGGAACTAGTATGCTCTAGGGATAAAGACAGAAAAAGACCAATGCTTGTCTGTTTTAAAACTCTGAAAAAAGTTAATTATAGTCTGCATTGACACAAACCATGTATTTATAGGGCTTCAAAGTCTTTATGTGCCATGGAATTTCGCACTCTCGCAGGGCATGAGGAGATTACCTAAATCCTCAAATCCACACGATAGCTTTTACCTCACTGCCTTGCTGACGTTTCTCCCTTCAACTCTTACATTACACCGGTCTCACACAGCAACTCCAGGAGTTTTCAGGAGACTCCGGCCTGAATCCAATGACGAGACTACAAACCGAAGCACTTCAAAGAGGAGCATTTACCTGGCAGGCAGTTGCACTCGAAGGTAAAGTCACTGGTTTGATGGCAGGTCCCTCCGTTCATGCAGGGCGAGGGTGAACAGGGCACGTAGGGGCTCTCACAGCGGTGTCCCGTAAAGCCTGGCTTGCACTGGCACCGGTACGAGCCAGGCACGTTGACACAGGTGCCACCGTGCTGACACAGGACTGAGGCAGCACATTCATTCACATCTATCTCACACTTCTGGCCAGTGTAGCCGGGTGGACAGATGCAGGAGAACTTGTTTCCCGATACAGTGCACGTGCTTCCATTGGCACAAGGCTGGGATGTACAGGCATCAATCCACTGGCAGTCCCTTCCTGTGAAAGCAAGGCAGAGCATTATGTCAACAAGAAATCAAATGCATGGAAAGTGGTTATTTCCTTCATGCTACTTCATAATGATATAGGTGGAGATCACAAACAAAAATCAACATGCTGGTTACAGTGAGAAATTGTTTTACACTTTGTTTTACAAATTGTTTTACAATTTGCAATTGTTTCACATGTATAGAGTAGCAGCAAAATGTAAAACATCATAATTTATAAGAATTAAAGCAAAACATGAAATCATTCTGCACGCTGACGGTCACTCTTCTACATCCCACTTGCGAACAAAAGGAGCGAGTTTCTATATTCCCACTCAGGCAAGAAATTAAAACTTTTCCATAGAGACATTTCGCTGGCCAAGTTCATTTCATTTTTTTCTAGAAGGCAGAGGATGCTTTGGAAATGCAACAGCCATTCCGGAATAGCTTCCACGCTCAGTATTTCGTTACGGACAACACCACAAGACCCAAATGCCTCCCCGTGCAAGTGCAAAGGGCAGGCTGTTTGATCTGAGAGGGGATCTGATTAACATGTATAAGTACATGAAGGGAGAACGCAGGGAAGAAGGGGCCAGGCTCTTCTCATTGGTGGCCAGTGACAGGACAAGGGGCAATGGGTGTAAGTTGAAACACAGGCAGTTCCATCTCCAGGTGAGGAGGAATTTCTTGACTGTGAGGGTGACAGAGCCCTGGCACAGGCTGTGCAGGGCAGTTGTGGAATCTCCACCCTGTGCCACATGCTCCAGGTGTCCCTGCTTGAGCAGGAAAGTTGGACTAGATGATCTCTAGAGGTCCCTTCCAACCTTGGACATTCTGTGATTCTGATTTGCCTAGCCTTTATCCCTCTTTTCTGGTCATTACATCACACGCACGTTCTCTCATTTCCCATGCCGGAGCTCTACGAGTGTCTTACAAACGGCCTGGAGTACCCAGGATTGAACAGCTCACGACACGAGGAGCGCGAAGGCACCAACGCCAAATCCCACCTGTGAAGCCCGGAGCGCAGGCACACTCGTAGGTGTCCTGCCCGTGGGGGTGGCAGGTTCCTCCGTGCAGGCAGGGCTGCGACACGAAGCACACGTGCGCCTCCGAGTACTGGCACTCGTCTCCCCGGAAGCCGGGGGCGCACCGGCACGTCGCCTTGCCTATGAGGGACGTGGTCTCGCAGGTGCCGCCGTGCTTGCAGGTGTTGTTCTCGCAGGGGTTCCTGTACTGGCAGTAGTCTCCCAGAAAGCCCTCCCGGCACCTGCAACGGAGAAGAAACCACTTGGAGCACGTCGGCCTCGAGCACCGCGCTCCTGGGGAGGCACCACGGATGGCCACCCATACAGCAATGTGACATCCCTTTAAAGCATAAGCTTTAGCATCGAAAGAACTGATGAGTAACTTTTTTTCCATGTTTTTCAGAGGGAAACCACGCAAGTTGGTAAGAGCCATCAGCACCGGGCATCCTCCATCCCCGCACAGCGGCGCCCCGGGGCCTCGCCGTCTCCGGCGGTGCTCCCGCGGGACGGGAACGCGCTGCTCCCATCAGGAGCACAGGGCTCCCACGCCCCCGCGGCGGCCCCGGGACACCCGTGCTGCCTGGCCCGGGCTGTATTTTACACAGAGCCCCGCAATTGCCGCGTTATTGCGGCTATCTCTTCTCCAAGCTTGTGTCAATACAGCCTGACTGCACTTGTCAGCCGCAATCCATCTTCTGCGTGGCCTTTGTACTGGGAATTTTTCCATCTAATTTCCAGTGGCACGGGACCCCGGGAAGCGTGCGGGCAAACACCACCTCTGTGCCATTCACTCCTCCCCGGCTTCTTTCAGGTAGCAGAGAGCTGCAGGATTATATGAAACCCAAAAAATAAAAGTGAACACACACACACCCCCTCTGAATGGGGCTGTCAACTTGCAGGGCTTCTCTGCAGTCCACAGCTGTTTGTTTTAACTGATAGGGAATCCAAGAAACATGGAGCTCATATAAGAGAGCATTTTCCTACCCTCCTTGAGCAAGCCGGTGAGCCCACAACTTGTACTTTACTACTGCCAAATCTTAGATGCAGAGAGAAAACGTGTGAAGCATCTTCCCCAAAACAGGGGGCTAATCCAGGAAAGAAAGAGTCGCTCTCAGGGCTCTGAACACTGAGCTGAAGGTGAATTCCCAACGGGACACTTGGCACACCTGAGGTTTTTCTGGCCAAACAGCAAATGAGATTATTTGCACCCAATAATGTCATGGCACAAGTATTACTGGGCTGCTCTATAGGTCTGGCGCCTGCTTTTCAAGAAGCAAGATAAAGAATTCAAATTCAAACAAGTGAAAAGTAGCAATACATATAAAATCCCTGACACCATGAAACGCTCCGGTCCCTCTATTTAATCAGAGAGAAAAGGGAAGAAGATAGTTAATCAGAGGCTGAAAGTACACAAAAAGAAACTAAGATTTACAATTCCCAGGCTAGAAGCTACAGCAGTGACAGGACTCAGCAGCCACAAGTTCCAGTCAGACACATTCAAACTAGAAACAGGGCGATATCCCCATCTTTGTACATGTACTTAAACACAGTTTCTCAAAAGCATAAGTAAACCACTGGAATAACCTATTTAAGATTGCACTAGAATTTCTCCATCATTCATGGGTTTTTTTTGTTTTACAAAAAAAATCAAATTGTTCTACAAAGCACACACACATAGTGCACACAAAGCTATTCAGAGAAGTATTATCTAAGGTATGCAAGAGGTCACTACTAGCTGACCACAACTGTGTTTTCTCCTCATGTTTAAATCTATTAACCTGCTTTAGCCATAGGTTTAAAGCAGCTGAGCCATATAATAGCTGTGTGTAATCACAACTTACTACTCCCCACACCCCAATTTGTGTCCTTTCACTCAATACCTGCAACCCTGCATGCAGGAACCGAGACGGGAGGAGGGATTGAGAGGGCAAGGCAGGATTAATAAAGCTGCAGGGAGGGACCTGCGAGCCACAGAACCATTCACAGAGCGGGCTCCGGTGCTGGCGCCATCCGCGGCAGCGCGGGGGTCCCGGGCAGCACGAGCCACCGCGCACGGAGCGCCGTCCCCATGTACCCCGTGCCCAAATCCGGGCACTTCTGCACGTTTCCGATGTCCCAAAGCGCTCCTGGTTACACTCGACCCCTGCATGGAGAAGCCTGCCCGTGCCTGAAGCAGTGGGGCTGCTCTTCCAGACGTGGCTCTCTGTCCCTGGAGAGGAAAACGCCCTCCGGGACAGGGAATCCAGTGGGACAAGGTGGCACCGCAGAGGTGGCCTCTATGGCCACCACTTTCTGTTCCCCTCGGGTAAGGGCTGGATCACAGCGCTCCCCAGTTTGCCCAGCCAGTGCCGGCCTCTGGGAGAGCCAAAGAACAAAAAAATCCCCCCAGAGCCCACGTTCTTCTCCCACATCTCCCGTGCCCAACATTTGCAAATTGCATTTTTACAAATCCTAGTAATTTACTTCTCAATGTTGGTATAGGCAAAGCTGCAATTATTTGCCCCACTATTCATGGCGGGCACCAACTCAGTTCTATAAAAATAGAGGCAAACGCTGCAAAAATCTGGGTCTAAGTCCAGCCTTTCTTAAAAGGGTATGATTATCTGCTCTATTCAGAGCCTCGGCGGCAGCTCCGGCTTCCTCCGCTTGGCCGGACTTGGTCCTCATCCCAAGTCACTCTTTCAAGTTCTCAAAAAAAGGAGAAAAAGCCACTTGTCTACCAGAGCAGCTTAAAATTGTAGCAGCTTGTGGCAGCTCCAAAGGACATGCTCAGAACAGGAAACCATATCTTTTCCAAATAAAAGCCACTGTTTCTCCTCCGTTTTCCATCTGATCCTCAGAAAGAGCAACCGGAAGATGAAGTTTGTTCTGGCACTTTCTGGGAATACATGCGCTCTCCTAACCTACTTCAGCGGGAATTTAATCCTTTAAGAACAAATTTCACATAGGGCTCGATTCAAATCGTGATGTCGGAAAGCTAGAGAATTTGAAATGGGAAAATGTCCTGTGGGCTGCATCGGCTACGCAGCTGCTTCTAATTAAAGCTTCTCCTTTACTCTCCCTGGGCTGCTTTCCAGCACAAATACTTTAGTCAGAACTCAACCCTTTTTTTCCCCCCCTCCTTTTCAGCTCCAGCCTGCATTTGCCTTAATGTAGGCTCTCAGGGACCTGAACAAGGGGCGTGAAAGCAAAATGCAGGTATCTACTCCAGCGTGCAGCACCCATGTATGCACAACGCCACGCTCGCTCCAACAAGCTGCTGCTACCAGGAGGACACACAAAAATTGCAAGTTTGGGGCTCTTTGTACCACAAAATCGCATTGAAGTTGCCCCCCCAAACTGATTTTTTTGGAAGTCTTTTGAAGAACGTGTCTGTTGTATTGGCAAGAGCTCCCCCGCGGCCCTACTGCGTTTGCCTGGGCACATTCCTCAGGAGAGCCTGCTTAAATGCATTTTAATACCCTGCCGCAACCAGCCTCCTAAATGTTTGATTTTCATGGGAGTTTCCTACTCAGGCCCACTGATATCATCTGGAGATGCACAGAAGGAAGCAGATGGTTTTCATTTGAGACGCGGAGGGAAGAATTTCCTCCTAGTCTCGCTTCTCCCCCCAGCCCAGCGCTCCCTTCCCTTGGAAAAGGCTTCGAAGAAGTAAAAAAAATAACAAATAAATAAATATTGCAGCCCGATGACTAACGTGAGAAGGGTCTCAACTATCCTGCTGCAGATTTTAACCAGACTTCCTTCTGGCTGCCGGCTCCCACACCTACCCTGCTCTCGGGAGGCAGAACAGGATTCTCTGGTTCTCCCTTTCGGAGCCCTTCCTTCCCGCGTCTCGCGGCTCCTGCTCGTGCGTCATGCGTCCAACACAAGCCGGATCTCCCTCTCCTGCCTTTAAAGTGGCACCCGACCGCTCTTTCTCGTGCTGCAGGAGGAGCAACCAAGCTCAAGGTTTCAAGGATTTTCTGGCCACCCGAGCTCCGAATGGAGCTTGGGTCTGACCAAGCACCATAGAAAATTCCGAGCAAGCGCCTCTCATTGCCACTCGCTATTCCCAGGCTGGAGAGGTGCGTGCAGTCCCTGTTCTCCTCTGCCCCAGTCTCTAGGGCCTCCTCTGGACTTCTGGAAGGAAAAAGGGTAGTTTATTCTCAGAACGGGACAAGTTTTCCACTTGTGCATTAGGCTTCTTTGGGAACACGCTCATCCTGCCACCAGGCTGCCTGGGGATGTTCCACACTGACTGATCTGGGACTAAACAGTCTCTCGACACAGACCCAGGGAAGGTATCCGCGGCAGTTCCCGACGCGGCTCTGCAAGCCCAACTCTCGCCTTCAGACTCGCAAGTCCTCAGAAACGAATTCCGAGATCTAAGAAGATCCAACGGAGGGAAAGGCAGGTGAAAATCCTCGGAAGAGGAGGGCTGCAGTCACACAGCAGGGGCAGCAGCCCCGTATCGCTGCTGCTTTGCGGTAGCGATATAGGTACCTCCTGCTACCTATATCCTGCTACCTGCCCTCCTGCTACCTACTCACACTTTAGAGGAAAAATTACACCAGGCAAGTGGTAAGTCTTCAGAGAAGGTGAGAGAAAGGCCCTGCGGCTGAGGCGCTGCAGGAGGCTGTGCAGCGCCCAGCACCCGAGCACAGGAGCTGCACGGAGGGGACAGTGCCCAGGTGCCACAGCAGCCCCCATGCCCGAGCAGGAGCCGACACCAGCGCCAGGGGAGGGCTGGGACTTGCATCCCGGGTGCTGGAATCCCGGAGGGTCACACGGCACGCAGCGCTGCCAAGGTCAAAGCTCAACCCAAAAGCCCTTGAAGCCTGAGCGGCAGCAGCAGCAGGGCGGCGAGGCGGGGAGCGCTGCTGCCCCGTCTGCCTTTTCACTTCTGCTTCTCTCCCTGGCACCGCTTGCTGCTGCTCCCTGGCGCTGGGGAGGGTGCCCAGCCTGCGGGACGGGTTGTGATGTCTCTGCTCCAGCACCTTGTCCGGCGCCCGGCACAATGGGGGACATCCATGGATCCCGCTGTGCGGAGACCCACGCTCGCAGGAACGCCGCAGGCTGAAACCACACGGCACAGGGCTCCCAAGCCAGGGTCCACACGGGAGCTGCCCCCTCTCCAAGGCAGGGACCAGCAGGACGGGCTCCGTCCCGCGCTCCGTGCACCAGGAGCAGGCACCCCCTGCTCCTGGGAATCGGGTCTGCCAGGCGCTGGGTGTGGAAATCTATCCCGGACAAAAGGTCTGACCTTGGAAGACGCAAACCCGGGAACAGGCGATTTGCTAAATATAAAGTGCAGGGCAAAGAACAGCAGCGTTTCCATCACACAAGCGCCACGAGACGCCAGCCGAGGGCCAGCAGCACCCGCACGGGAACCAAGCTCCTTGTGGGGCGCCCACGAGAGCGGCCTGATAAGGATCCAGCTCCAACTTCCTTACGGGCTCACGTCCGTTGTTCCCGTAACAGAAGCCAGACGCAACCAGAGCAGGGCTTCCTCAGCACAAAACCAGCTCTCCCGTTCGGTGGGGCAGCCCGTTCGGGATTCTCCCACCAAGGAAGCTGCTTCAGCACCAGGTTTAGCATCCGTCTGGATGCTTCATTATCAGCGCCCGCGTTGCCCAGGCCTTACTCATCTCACCATCATCTCGGGTGCAGCTTCTCTTCCAGAGGTTCCCCGGCTGCTCAGGGGCCGCCAGATAAACCGTACGGAGCAACCGCACGGGGAACACAGAGCTGCGAGAGGAGGCACAGAAAGAGGAAGGGAGACTATTAGGCCAGCTCGGTGCCAAGCAGGGGAAGTGTTGCAGCAAACCGGGGGAAAAAAATTAAAAAAGAAAAAGTGGAAGGGGTAGAGATTTCACTGACCGGCAAGGGAGCCGCCGGAGCCAGGCCCCTTGCCTTGGCAAGAGAAGTTCGGTTTCCTGAGCAAAATGCTTCTGTTTTGTTCTGCTGTCAAAAATTCAGAAAGTCATTTAGGTTACTAGACCCGAAAGTTCCTCTATTCGGAGTTCCTCATAGTACAGGAAAGTTTAAAAAAAATAAAATAAAGCAACCCACAAACCTTTAAAACCAAAACAGGATGCTAAGAATCAACCTGCTAAAGGTAGAGTCTCCACAAACGAGGGCATTTTTTTTTCTCCATTTTTCCTTTTCTTTTGAAAGGCAAACCATTTGAGCCAGAACTAGAAGGCAGGTAAGCGCATTTCTGAGCATGGGTTTGCACCAGCCCTTCCACTGACTGCATCTGCCAAAGCACCGAGCTCTCACTCGAGGCAGAGGTCGGCTTGAGACCTACAGAAGACCACGCACAAGGAGGAGGAAGGCAGCATCACAATTATAAATAGCTCCGCGTGCTGAAGAAACTAGAAGAGCAGCCACTGCGACAGAGGAAATGGGTCAAAGCCAGGCCTGCCCCAAGAGCACCAACACCTTAAGTGAAGTTAAACCTGCAGGTGAAGTGACTAAACAATTCTGCGCTGCCTAAGAGGCGGTTAGGAGGAATAAGCAAGTCGGAGGACACCAGGGATGGGAGGCACAGGCGGTAACAGCAGCCTTGGCTAATAACCTCGCTGTGACTCACGCGTTTTGGCTCCAGACTGACAGGCTCGGGCTCATGAGCGAGACCTGCTAAGGTTGCACAAGCAGGTCCTTTTTTCTCTGTCTTAAAATAGAGGGGCAACGTAGGGAAAAAAAGAATCAGGTTTCTTTTCAGAACTTTTTTTTTCTGCTTTCAGTAATCAAAAAGGAAATGGAAAGGAAGAGCCTAGGGAGTAATAACAGTGAAAATTAATCACATGGCTGGGAATAACATGTTAATTTTTTTTTTCTGGGGCCCTTCTTAGCACGAAGTATTGATTTGAAACTGAGAACCACCTTAAATTAGGTTCCGATTTCCCCCTCGTGTGCCACAGGTGCAAATTAAGCATATCAGAGTTTTGTGCACCGTATCACCAGCGCGAACTAACAACTGCAGACAAGGAAGACAGATGTGCAGAGAGGGCTGAAGGAGGGGAAAGCAGAGCTGTGTGCTAGCCAAGCTAAATCAATGAGGCAGCATCCACCAGCATCTGAGGAATGCAAGGGCTAAGGGAGAGGGATTTAGCGTGCTGCAAAATGGCACAGCTCGCACTGATGAGGTAAACAAGGCTCAGCAAATAAATCCATTTACCTCAGTCACACGGGGATCTAACCCCAGCAAACAGAAGAGATTTTTTTTTCAGATATAGCTTAATTAAAAAAAACAAAAGCCATATTCTGCAGTCAAAGTTGAAAAGGTGAAGTGCATTTAGGCAAATGTGACTCCGCTCCCCAGGAGCTGCACATCCCTCCACAGCTCCTGCCCACCAGCTTCCCGTATGGTGGCAAAGGGAGGGCACCAGGGGGGTCATCTTCTCCCCTGGCCTCAGACCCCCTTTTAAACTCTCACATACTGCTCGCTGTCCACTATGTGGGAAAAAACGGGCACACTGAAAAGTGCAGAGCAGTTCTGAAAAAGGACTCATGAAAATACTCAGTTTGGGGCTGAAGATCTAGAAATTAAATCAGCTATAAGATGGAGAGCAAATTCTGACTTAGCTGGTAGATATCCTGAATCAAAGGACACATTTATGTTCGGAAGAGAGACCACGTCAAGCATGTGGGCAAAGCAACCAAATCGGCAAGATCCATGCCCAAGAATCTGGACAGAAGTTCCAGATTCCTTACATTAGAAAAAGCCAGTGTAGAGGAATTAATATACTAGCAAGAAACACAATGTGTGATAAAACATTTACAATAAAAACACCTGACAGTAAGAACGGCTTAAAAACTCACGTTTCCTTTCAACTTAGGGCCCTGAAAGATCAGCAACTAAAATATTAAGAACGAATGGGACTTACTTGCAGTATCCTGTGCCGTTCTGATAGGGAATGCAGCGTCCCTCGTTAATACAAGGCCTGGAGTCATCCATACACTGCAAAGCTGGAAGAAAAGCACACGACGGTCAGATCAGCAGGCACACATGTGAAGTCAGAGCCCCGTTAGCATGTTTAGAGAATGGAACTGTTACACAGAGCAAATACCCTTTATTAACTGGAGTAAGTGCTGCTTCCTGATCAAAATTCAGCACTCTGAAGAGCCACAAAGAGAGGCAGGAAAGACCCTGAGGTTTGTGAGCAGGAGATACTTGGGGCTCAGCGTGGACATTTTCCATAGGGTGTTGCAGGACAGGCACTGGTTGCTATGTACTTCCAGCCTAGAGTGTTTTCCCCGCTGTCCACAGGGAATTCCAGTGGACCAGCCTGGAATTCTCTGCAGCAGGACGGGAACACGGAAACACAGGAAACCCACTGGCATAGGCACAATCCTGGAACCACAGAAACGTACCCCATAAACACAGGCCAAAACCTGCCCTTTGAGCATCTCCAAGCTAGCGGAGACAGCTCTGGGAATCAAAGTTACAGCTTCTACCCTAAACTTCACCCACATCTCTTGATTTTTCCCAGCCTCCATTTCAGTCTCCCTCCCATCTCCCACATTTCCGTGTCCTTCTGCATTTCAGCTATCGCGCTGCCCTTGGGAAAGCGTTTAACTGGTCTTGGCTGGGGCACCTGGAAGCATGAGGAGCCTCCGAGCCCCAGAGCCACCACTTGTGCTCCAGCTGCTGCAGGGCAGATGGCCTCTCCCTCCACCAGTATCAAGTTTTCAACCCAAATTCCATTTCCGCGGATTATCACAATTTAAAAGGAAGCCAGCAGCCATTTCGGGAATAATCCCACAAGCCCTGCAAGTCGACCAGGGAGCATGGAGCCAGGCTACCACCAAGGCTGCTGCAGAAGGGATTCAGAAAGCAAAGAGAGAAATGCACGGGGCACACGGAGCTCTCCCTGCAAACAGCCCCAGTTCAGCCCAGTAACAGCCAGACAGCTTGGAACCGACTCCGGTTGCTCTCCAGGGCTGGAAATGTTATTTTTCAATAATCCTGGGACATGTGAACAGGCCACGTGCGCTCCTAGGCGCGCAGCAACATCTCACACTGGCAGCCCCAAGGGAAGCGGGTAAAATTAAACGCGGTGGTCCCAAGAGGCCAGCTTTGCTTCTCCCAGCGCGAGCCGGGCTGCTTCCCATCAACCTGACTTCTGAAACGGGGGCTCCCTGATAGCCCTGCGCCCGGGAATGGAGCAGCATTCCAGCGGGGCCCGTTGCCGATAACCTCCGGGGTCGGCGCTGCGCGGCCCCGGCGACACGGGCGCGGATCCGCCCGCTTCCCGCGTTTCGCCCCCCAGCTTACCAGGATACATAGAGACTTGGATTCGGCTTTCCCTGTCTCCCGACAAATTATTTTTGCCTTGACCTGCTTAGCAGGTCATTAGACGACTTCTGGTGCTTGGAATTCTTTCTATCGGAGATAGGGACGGAGTTGTGGAATGCGGGGCACTGCCTACGTGTAGTATTTCAGGAGTGAAAGAAAGTGGGGAAAAAAACAAAAGCAAAATGACCACTGAGCCTTTTCCAGCTTAAGACTAAAATAGACTGAACGCACACTCTGAAATAAATAAGATTAAGTTAATGCAACTGTAACAACATTCTATATTAAAAGAAGCATTAAAAAGTAACATTACCCTTAAAAAAAGAAAAGAAATCACAAGGGAAATGGAGGACTTGGGTTCTCACAACCAAGTCAGCACTTCTGTGCTCAAAGCAGCGCCTTCCTGTATTTTGATAGCTGTAACTTCCCAACGCGCGCGGGCCGTTTCCGGGGGCTCCGCTCGCCGCCGCCCCGCCACGCCGTGCTCGGGGGCAGTCGTGTCACAAGCTTGGTCTACCTCAGTACGAGGCATGAAGTGAAACCCGTTTCTGATGCCACCTGGTGCATTTTGCCACGTGCAAGAGGGACAGTCTCGCCTGGAAAAGGGAGCGCTGCTCAATGGTGCTCCGGGTGACCCTGCGTGTGCCGGTATTTGGACCGGATGATCCCTAGAGGTCCCTTCCAACCTTAAGGACTCTGCGGTTCCAGGATCAGCAGAGCTCACGAGGGCTGCGGACCCACCAGCCGCTGCCGGGGATCCTCTTCCCATTAAAACCGGAGCGGGAACGTGGTGGTTTCCCGGGCTCGTCCCCCCGAGCGAGCCCAGCCCGTGGGCAGCCGCACGCTGGGCTCCGCTGCCTCGCGATTTCCATTGGGCCTTTGGGGCGTTTTAAGGTAATACTGGGAAAACGCCCAAGGATTATCAAAAGTTTGGCTCCAGCCCCTGCTATTCAGTGGCCAGGCCACCGCGGAGCTAAAGGAATATCTAATTTCCAGCGTGCATTCAAGCCAAGCTTAAAAGAGATCTCAGATAAAGACTTTAAGAGTATATGAGATGAATGCTATTAGCTAAACTAACCGGCTTGGAGTCGATGTAACCCCCTGCTGAAGAGCTGCATTTAGACACAAAGTCTAATCTGATATTTTGACTAGCCCATCAGGACTGTTTCCCAAGGCTGCAGGGGAAAACTGGTAGCCACTCTTGCAAAAGGAGCAGAGACCAAAAATGATACCCAAAAAACCCACTATAGTAAGTGCTGTGATTCTGAATATCTGAATCAGTCTAAGGTTACAGCTATTCAGTGCACAGTTCAGACCAGATTTATTTTTTCTGGCTGAGGAAACAGCTCAAGAAAATCGAAGAGAAAAAGTTATTTCTGTCTTATTGCTCTTTAGGATGCCAAGATGATCTGGAGGCTGTGATTTGGTTTCCAGCCTTCATCTGCATGCTATCAATTCAGACTCTTTTTAGGCCAGAAAACCAAATGAAATAGTGAAAGACTAACATCAGAAGATGTGTCAGCATCCAACTTTTAAGACAGAGTGCTATAAGGGGGAAAAAATGTAATTTGAGGAAAAAAGGCTTTGAAAAAGATGCTGGAAAAGCTAATAAACTGCCAACCTACAAGTTGAGAAGTTGAGAAGAAGCAAAAATGCAAAATACCGAAACAATTAGTGCCGGGAGGAAGCGATGTTACAAAGCTGATTTCCTGCAGCTCCGCGCGCTGTGGTTCATTATCCTGTATCTAAGAACGTGCAGGCTCTGCCCAAAGCTTCGTCTGCAAGCAAGGGGTGAGGGATATCCTGATACGAACTGCCAGAGAGCCCACACGGCTGCCTTCTCCTTGGGAGGGCACGAATCGGGTGTCCGTGCCCTTAAGTTGATAGAAACTTTTATATATATATATATTTTATATTTTTATATATATATATATATCTTTCCAGCCCTCTCTCCTATATGGTTGAAACCAGTAGGAAGGCTCTAAAGTTCTCCTTTAGAGGGAAGGTGGGCCATAACCTGCCCAAAATAGAGAAAAAAATTCATACCAAAACTTAAGCGTTGACGACTAGAAAGAAAAACACAGCGCAGTTTTCAATAGGCTTCATGTTGCTGGTGGATCTACTGCCCAAATTGACATTCATGAGAAATAAGATGTCGTTTCAACCGTGTTGTTCCCTTGCATATCATGAGGGAGGAGCAGAAGGAAAAACCAACAAGCCAGCAAGCAACCTGGGGGTGTGTTGGGAATCATGTGTGCAAGTCCAGAGGACTTGGGAGCTGCAGAGCTGCCAGCTCCGGAGAGGGGCCATCAGCGTGGTCAGATGCCCAATCCCACCGCAAACCAGGGCAAACCAACAGCCCCCGATTCCCTTCGGGAAAAACAGCACGGGAGAAGAGGAGCTAAGAGAGCAAAGGTGAGGGATGAGGGGAAGCACCTGGAGGGTCCTGCCTGGCTGCTCCATCCTGCAAGACCATGGAGACCACGCGCCCCAAAAAACCTAAGGGCCAAGGAACTGCAAAAACGCAGGGAATACCCTGAATTAACCAGATTTCGGAGGAAAACCACAAAGGGGAGATAGCTAATTAGGCTACTTACTAATCTCAACAGATCACAGTTCAAATGAGGTTATTTATCACGGAAAGGAACCGCTAATGAATAAGTGCAAGCTGACAGAACTAGGACAATTTATTTTTTTTGGGAAGCAAACAGATCACCCCACAGCAGGGACACCAGGAATGAAAAAAAAACAGGAGAAATCCTCACTGTGAAGAAGTGATAAAACCCATACATTGAGCCCAAACACATATAGAAAACATGACCACTGGAGGAGCTGAGGCAAGCGGAGCGGTTTGCCCGTCGCAGGCAGTGGCCAACGCTGGAGCTTGTCTGCGCCACATGGAAATCAATAAAGTAAACACAATCTGACTGTTTAAACCCTTTTAAGAGCTCCGTACGCATCCAGTCGCTATAAAAGCTTTATTTATTCAAAGGGTCCGTGATTCAGCACTTTCAAACAAGATACGCGCAGCCCAAGACTTCCTCTTTATCTCTGCTAAGATAACAGGCGATTAAGTCCTAATGTTCCTGATACCTCTAAAGTGAAATATATATATATATATAAAATACGCATATTGCACTTTATTAATTGTCGTTTTAGTAGGAAGTTGGCTTATAGGTGGATGGTCCACACTGCACAAGCCTGCACACTGAGAGGAGATCCTCGCTAATAGCAATAGGGGAACCCATGGAGCAATCTGAAAGCTCTTAGGTGGTGCTGATGAGGCAAGGAGATGCCCCTGGCAGGACCCCAGTCCAGCCCAGGAACGAGCAAAGCCAAAGGCAAGGCCAGCAGGCCACGCTCGGTGCCCTTTGGATGTTCTCCACTGTTTGCACCAATAAAAGTCTGAAATAGATGGGACAGTTCAACACTCCTCAGCTCAGAAGCTGCCCAGAGCTCAGAGGAGCGGGAAGGAACCCGGCCAAGAACCCCAAATGTCTCAGCTGCTTCTCTTCACTGGCTTCTCTAGGCTCCCCAAGGAAAACACAAAAAAAGTTGGGGGAAAAAGCAAATGAACAAACAAAAAATAAATATTCAAGTGGATTTCGGAAGTAATAACCCTATAAGAAGAAATTTTGCTTTAGAAGTGCATCGATTTGTTAAACTCAAGAGTGCAGACA